CTTTGACCTCTTTAATACAGTAGGAAAAACTGTTGGTTCCCTTTCACCCTAGGAGCCCTAAAAAAAAAAAAACAGGTCACGACCCTGTTAGAATTCAAGAAAATAATCTGTATTTTTTTTTTCACAGATCACTAATAAATTTATTAAGAATGTATTTATCTACATTTGTAATTTTCTCCTCGCAATATATGTTATATAAAGATATAGGAAAGGCGTGATTAGTGAACGCAAACAGGGTGGAGCACTAGGTGGAATATATCCCTTGGGACACAAACAGGGTGGAGCACTAGGTGGAATATATTCCTTGGGACATAAACAGGGTGGAGCACTAGGTGGAATATATCCCTTGGGACACAAACAGGGTGGAGCACTAGGTGGAATATATCCCTTGGGACACAAACAGGGTGGAGCACTAGGTGGAATATATTCCCTGGGACATAAACAAATACAAACAGGGTGGAAAACGATGTGATATACATCCATTTGGAACATAAACAAACAAGTATCAGGTGACCCATTCTGTGACTTCTAACACTGAAACTGATGGAGAAACTGATGTCAACTTGGCTTTGAAGGAAAGCTTCTTAGCTCAGAGGAATTCCCCCCCCCCCCCCCTAACAGTACTGTATAATGTTTTTATATCCTGACCTCCTAAATAACTTCAAATATATCACACACCTGAATGTTTTGGTTGGAACTTTTCCATCTTTCCAGTGTTATATGGTGCCATAAAGAGGCATGAGAATCATAGCCCATGGTGATGGCGAATGTGACAGCAAGACCCGCTCACATTAAGAAAAGTCTTCCGCAACTAAAGTGTATAACACACCCCACACTGCTTAATTAACATAGGCAACGGCAGACCAGACCGTGCATTGCTCAGGACACATTGACACATACAAGTGCATTGCTCCAAACCCATGTAGACTGACATGTATGAAGTTCTGTTAGCTCAGTGTGTGGGTGCATGTTTTATAAGGATGTAACTACTTCACTGGGTCATGCCATGTCAGGTTGTTCAGCTCACTGACCCAGTTTTGAAAGTTGTGCTCATCACTGTGGCTGTACAGTTTAGCTTTGTGACTTCATATAACACTGAGTTCTTGCTTTTCTCAGACTTCACACTTCCATGATAACAATTCAGACTGTAGACATTGCTGACAATACAGAAAGAATAAGAACAGCGTATACCAAACTTGACATTCTAACTGTGCCAACGGCTTCAGGAGGAGGAGCGCACTGAGGGGGATACTAGCCTCATCCTAGAAGAAGGAAATGTGAACAGCCTGAAAACATTATAGCAAGACAGAGCAGGCCCTCAGCCTTGGTTAGTGACTGTTGGTCAAGGCTGACAGACAAAGCATTGCTCTCTCTCTCTGATCTGGCAGCTTCTGCAGTATCCTATGTTCTAAACTCACTGGTGTTACTTGTGGAGTTAACAAAGGAGACTAAGGGAGGGATCCTGCTTCATGGGCAACACACTATCTTTACAATAGTCGAGGTTCCAACTTCATTGCAGCAGGGTAACCCCAATAATTAATTAGTTGCAACACATTCTTTATACAGTAATAGTCAGGACTCGACTTATATCGCAGAATTAATTAGTGTCTCTACAAAAATCCCAGGCTTTGTGCTGCGGAGCGAAGGAATTATATCCCTGGCCTTTACTGGTGCCATCGCATGATGTGATTCTCCCTATAGCTCAATGGGACACTATCATCTGGAAAGGTGCCTCCATAAACAATAAATCCGTACAGTATACTATGTACTGAAAATTTTCTTTTCTTCTTCTTCTTCACCAGCTGTAAACTCTGGCGGAAAGTTCTGGTTGTTCGTCCACTTCTGGTCTGCAGTCCTGTTCCAGAACCTGAGTGTTGCGTGTGCATCTGTTTTACAGATCTGACTCATTTGTATGCAGACTGCTGGTTCCTTGCCTCTCAGGCAAATGCACTCCGACTTCGAAGGAAGTTGACTCTTACGACATGCTTTTGGGTAGGCAGTGGGTCTATTCTTGTTTTCCCTATAATAGGGCCCCAGAACCCACACTGGGAAATGTTCTTATCAATAAAGTTTTCAAGATGCAATCACTTAAATAAATATTACTTTAAAACAATTTAAAGGCAAGCCATATCAATTATTACTGTGTGGGTGTAAAATGATATGGCGGGGAAAGAGATTCTGTGGCAGAACAATGTAGTGATGTGAAGTGTTAGGCCTTCACACATACTATGAAAAGATCTTCACTGGCTGTAAATTACAGCGGAAAGTTCTGGTTGTTTGTCCACGTCTGGACTTAAGTCTTGCTCCAGAACCTGAGTGGTGCATGCACATCCGTTTAACAGATCTGACTTAATTGTACGCAGATTGTTGGTTCCTTGCCTCTCAGGCAGATGCACTCCGACTTCAAAGGAAGCCCCTAATTAGAAATCTTACAACATGCTTGTTGGGGAGACAGCGGGTCCATTCTTGTTTTCCCCACAATGGGGCCCCGGAACACACAAGGGGATAAAAAGATACTAATGGAAACAAGATGCAGAACTAGTCAGCTCCACATTATCAAGATCACAAACAATAAACGCTTCTTGCAGCAGCTAGAAAACTTCAATCAGCGTATGACACAGATGGATAATGTTGCAATGACAAACAAGAATGTACAAAATCACTTATCTGTATGTAAGTCAAGGCCTCGCAGAGAAATATCCATAGTATTTCTGAACAACAGAAACTTAGAGCCATGTGTGCGACACATTATCATTTACTAGGCCATTGTATAATAAGATGAGCAACTATCTTCCTTGCCTTCTAAAAAAAATGAGGTAAATTGACTTTTAGCTGGGGGGGGGGGGGGGGGGGGGGGGGGGGCTCCACTGCATGGTCATTCTTGCTATACTTTTATCAAGCTTTAATTTGTGCTGGAGCCAGTGTCATTTCATTGACCCAGAACTGCAGTGGTTGAGATATTTAAAGAGACTGGCAGATAACTGAGAGACACACAAGAACTGCATACACACAAGAGAAGAATGGAGGTAGACCCAAGGAGATTATGTAGAGGTAATATATACATGCAGACCTACAAACTAGAGCTGTACCGAATAGGTGATTATCACTATTCAGCCAAATACGAACAACGGGACAAACGATTTAGCCGAATACAAATAGAGTATAAAATAGATGTTTAAAAAAAAGACATTTATAATGTCAAATGTGCGCTGAACTTTTACTTCACAAAATGTTGTACAGAATAGTAAACATTTAAAAGCATTTTATGCTTTGCATCCTTCAGACAGTCTAAGGTAACTAATGTCTCGAGTGCTGTGGTGTTGATTCTTCAGTAAAGAAACATTGAAAGTTTCCTAAACTAAAACATGTCTGGGTCTCAGAGTTAAAACAGACAGATGCCTTTGACACACAAAAAAAAAAAGGGGGGGGGGGGGGGGGGGGGGGGGGGGGGGGGGCCAAAACATGTCTGGCACATAAAATTTGTAATCAATGTACTATAACATTTAACTCTTTTCTATGCTGGGTTGCTGTTCTAGCACTTAAATTTTTTAAAGAGAGGGCATAAAGATGGCTGTCTTTACAGCAACAACCTGTGTGTATATATTCAGAGTCAGTGTACTAGTTTGCTAAGCTAGTTGAGTTGAGTTAAGAATTGACATCACAGCACTTGGGGCATTTCCATGCTTGCTCTGTCCTCATCTTCAGCAGCCAGCGCAGAGTTCCAATACTGATGGTACCGAATACTGATGGCTGAGTTATAGAGTGTAAAGTAGTGCCATCTAATATACTAGCTAGCAGAGTTAGAGGGAATAAGGTAGTATAACATAACAGTGATGCCTCGGAATTTGAACACCTCAAAACTTAAACATCTTGGAATCTAAACAAAAATTTGAAAGTAAATTTTGCCATAGAACTCCAATGCCACCTCTATACTACTGAGCTGAGCTGCCAGTGGTAAAACAAAAAAATTACAGAAGAAATTTCTTCCAGGAAGGAAGAGAGGGAAGTTGAAAGGATTAACACCACTGAAGTTCAGGATCTTTTGACCATGTGGCCAATAAACAAAGTTGTTGTTGATAGGTTGCACCCTGATAGAGCCCTTGTTAACCCTGATAGAGCCCTTGTTAACAGGCATGTTTACTCATTTAAAGATAATAATATTATCAAAGATTTAAGAAAAAATAAAAAATGGTCATCAACTTCACAGCACATTGGTCGTCAACAAAAACTAGTCACCCCAAACAAGTGGTGAACTACTATGAAAGGAAACACCAGGAAGGATTCCTCATGTTATCACGGAAGGTGACTCTTTTTCCAAACAAAAATCTCTATAAATGCTTCTGCCTCATACCTCTATGTGCTATGTCACCATTTTGATCAAGGTATAGTAAATACAATGTTTTTATATATCTTTGTTATAATGTTTGTATTGAAATATGATCACCATATGTTACTACATTTACAGTGTACAGTATTTAGGAAAACACATTTTAAAATTGTTAGTTCGATCCTGGAGCAGGTTTTGTCTGAACTTGAGATACCACTACTGGTTGGGTTAGCTAGGAAGAGTAACGCAAGATGAAGATCAGTACCAAAGGAGACCATACCCTTCAGTATAGTGAGCAGGACCAGCAATGCTGGCAGGTTGCCTAAATATCTGCATGTAAGTTCTAGGGCCTAAATTACAGGGGCTGGGGATAGATTCTCGGCCCCTGAACAGGCATGTTGTAAAAGGCATCATTAACCGTTTCTGATATACTGGGATGAAAGTAGCAGATATTGCAGCCTAGCTGTAAACCACAACAGTATGTCAACTGCCTTTTTAAAGGCAAACACAGAAGAAGAAATATGCTTAAGTACACAGGCTGAGCTTAAGGGAGTTGAGAAAAATGCAATTTAGTTAGCAGCAGTGACCGGACACCTCAGTATATAGGTAAAACACAACTTGTTGTATGATGATAACAGCGAAATGGAAATTCTTAAAATAAATTGGACTGTACCTGACATTCACAAGATCAGCTGGGGTTCCAACCAGGCCACCAGATGCTCCTGCTACTGCCGCTACGAGAACTTTCTCATAAAACGGCATGTTGCGTCCATCTTTAACTAACTCTTTTTTCACTGTCTCATAGATGGCAAATCTTGTCAGAGAATATGTCAGCTGTGGAACGGTATATTAAAAACAATGATTTAATTTCTTCCTGCTTATTTCTTAAACTTCTGCTTGACCTTAAATTCATGGTTGGTATGTTACATTGTGGTTTACAGCTAGGCTGTCATATATGCGCCTTTTGCCCCAATGCATCCCTTTCAGTGAACCTATAATTAGTCACCTTTTATGATATGCCTGTTAGGAAGCAGTGCGTCTATCCCCCCCCCCCCCCCCCCACACCACCACCCACCAAACTGAACCCCCAGAGCCTGCATGGGATCTTAAGTAGCTGGTGTACCTTCTTATTCCTTTTTTCCATTCACCTCAACTTTCGTAATTTGTTTAGGAAAGATATAATGATCTTTAGGTGTGGTCTTTCCTATGCTCTTTACAAGTTTGTCTTCATTTCTCTAAAGTTGTTTTTGATGCCAACTCTCCATCTTTTGTGCGATCTTCCTGTTTCACATGCTCAATATAGTGCTTCATTGTTTAGCTGGTACCAGGGTAGAACATCACATAAAGCATAAACCCCGAAGCTTCCGTGACCATATCCATAAAAACTGTATCCGGGCGCTAAATAATGTGTCCACGAAACAAACCCACAGCTTTTAGAAGATTATGCCCGCTGTTGTTCTTTAATTAACTGCTGAGTGGTTTCAATTCTAGTTTTCTTTAATATAATTAATTTCTTAACTTATCACTGTGATTTTGTTTTTTTAAATATTCTTTTTGGTTTCTTTTATCTTCCTCTCTGTCCACTTTGCCCTGAGACCTCTTGTTATTCTTTAAATAACTGATGGTTTCAATTCAAGTTTTATAAGTAATTTCTTAACTGTATCTCTATGAGATTTGTTTTTAATTAAACAAAAAAAATATTGTGTGTGTTTCTGTTTCCCTCTATGCCTTCTCAACATGATGATGACTTTCTCATTTTCAGAAAGTCACTGCAACAGGCATTCAACTGGTAACCACCATGTAAAAATGTTAAAACAATGCTTTCATAAAGGCTAAGTATACAGTGAAAGGGCCCACTGGGGGAGCTAGAAATAGTTAATATGCTCTGGCCAAATGAAACAGATTAGAAAACACATCACACAGGGAACAGGCAGAATAACCCAAGACATCTGACCTGACTCTTGGGTCTAACAGAATTAATTAATACAACACTAAGCAAATCACAAGATAAAATGTGGCAACAGTTACTGGTACTTTTGTCTGTCTCTGCAGTACCCCAAGTACGATCAGCTGTTCTACTATTTTTACTGGCTACAGACTGGATTATAACGATGGTAGAAATTTACCAGAATTGGAATTTATTGTTATTGGTCTCCCTTTGGCAGCTGTGACCTTCTCAGAAATAAAAAAGAATAAAGCTAATAAGGAGGATTTTATTGCCCCAGGATTTGGTTATACAAGGTAAACAAAAGAGGATGTACTGAGCAATTTCTCCTTTTTCGTGTTCACAATCTGTAAACTCTGACCGAAACTTCAGGTATTTCTTCTACTTGAAGAGCCTCCCCTCATCATGGTTGGCTGGGTTTTACTTGCTTATCTTTTTGGCTTATCCATGGTTGGTTGGTTTTTGTGGCTATTGTGTTTACAGGAGGAGGTAGCCAACCTCAAGGCCAACCCTACCCTTAGTGACCTCTTACGACATGCCTGGTAGGATGTAGTGTCACTATTCTTTGCTTCCCGTGAGGGTCCGGGTGACACACGGGCGGTATGCACATCTTTTTAGAGATTATTCATAATACTATTTGTACACAGACTGTTAGTGCCTTGCCTCTCAGGCAGATGTACTCTGACTTCAAAGAAGGCCCCCCACTTAGTCAACTGTTATCGGGAGGGAGGCAGTGGGTCTATTCTTGTTTTCCCCTACAATGGGGCCCCGGAACCCACACAGGGTTACTGAAAAAACAAAAACAAAGTATGTTGAGAAACAAGAACTACAAACTAATATACTATACTGCACAAAGATGCCAGGCCAGGTAAATACAAACACACCTTAATAACTAAGAAAATAACTAAAGCTACAAGGGGCTAGCCATGAGATTTTACATTCGCTTTGAAAGGGTGACAGCAGACAGCTAAAATAAAGCACAAGAAATTAGTTGCATATCTGTAACAGGACGTCACGAACAACCCAACAAATTGTTGGCCGACTGTGGTTTTACTTTGCAATTTTATATCTGGCAGTTTGCAATTGCTTTCATTCATGGTCAAGGCTCATATCACTGTTGAAATTGTCGTAAAGCTGTCTACTGCCAAATTACCTGCAGCTAAATTGAAACTGGATACTTAAGAATTATGAAATTGATTTGTAACTCTTATGACACAGACAAGCAGAAGAAAGAAAAACAAAAAGATAATAATATAATTCAAGATGACTTTCTCTAGAATACTAGAAAATGTGTAAATGTTTAAAGTTAAAATGGCCACATCTCAACACACTGGTGACTATGAATTTCTTGTAACAATGAAAAGACAGAAAATGCAATGGTACAGGCTTTTATTCAAATCTAGCAGTCTCAATAAAAGGACACTACAGAGCAACAGAAGTGGCAGATCAAAAAAGACCTTCATACAGAACTTGGCTGAGTGGACAGGCCTCAAACATACAAACATCAAGTCCATTACACCTGAGCAACACAGGTGAAGGTAGACGCAGGGTATGGGAGTTCACAGCAACAGCTAATGGACGTCACTCTGTTTTGAGAGGTAGACGAAGCACATGGAGGTTCACAGCAAAAGCTAACGGTTGTGTGCAGCAAAGCCTGGCATATGATAGCACAATGTCTAGTTTGAAAATGGAGGTGGAGGCAGTCACTGCTGGCTTGAGAATCAGCGGTACTCACATGTGGTAATTGTAAGTGACTCACAGAGTATGCTGAAAAAGGTGGAGACATGCATGCTGCATGTAGAGTTGCAAGCATTGCTTCAGAGGTCCGAGGTAGTTAGCGTCTTTTGAATATTCTCTCCAGGTTATACTAGTGTTTTGGGAAATGAGCAGGCAGATAGACTAGATGGTTCTGTGTCACTTGGTGGTGAATTGATATATCACAAACTAGATGTTGTGAGGACACTTTGGGAGCATGTGAAAGTGTGAAGGCACAAATAGATTATTATGGTCTGAGAAGAATGGTGCTGCAGTGAGTTACCAGAAGATCTGGCCAATGCTCAGCACTCAAGGGAAAGGCGAGACGGATGTAGTCAGGCAGTTACTGGTACCATTGGAAATGTAACTCTCTGCTTGCTGCTAAAGATGGGCATGGAGTGCTTATAGGAGTATCCTGCATGCTATGATGTTGATTCTTAATTCAACATGTAACAGAGATGGAGGGAGCTGATCAGACAGTCATCAGCAACTGGTGACCCAATGACATCTGGTGTTATGGGACAATGACGATGAGGTAACAGGGCCGACATGCAAACAGTTTTCTTCAAAGTTTTCATAGCAGATTTATCATTTGAATATCTGTTTTCTCAAGTTACAATTTATAATAACGGACACATTTACCTGTCTGCAAATTGAAGCCGATAGACCATTGTAAAGCCCGAGAATCCCATCATTTTTAACCACTCTGACAGCCATTGAGAATAGGCTAACATTCCCACCTTGTTGAGTCTGCAGATGAACCTAAAAGTAGACAGTAAATGAATTTCAAATGAAACATATTAAAAAAACTTAGCTAGAACTAAAAAGAAACAAGTTGTAACGATTTTCTACAGCTGACACATCGCTGTCACATCATTTCTAGATCAGCACTGTTGCCCAAACAACTTTGGATAATATCTGACAGGTACAGAAAAAGATTACAAAAAATAATATCAACATGCATGACAAAACCTGAATAACTGCAAAGATCTACAAGTGAAACAAGCTATAGCAAATCAAGGCATAAAAATAAGTAACCGCAGTTCAGCTGATATCAAGAAAGTTCATGACTATATTTACTCCTATTAACTGTGTCCTGTTCCAAGTTGACCCTGTCACGTGTTTAATTAGTCTGTTGTGTTGAGCGTAGAGCTAAGAACTGACATCTCAGCACTCAGGACATTCCCATAGGGTCTTCCTCCTCACTTTCAGCTTCAAGAGTTCCAGTTCCGATAGTGCACGTAGCAGTCTGATTATTGGTCAATCTTGCCTTTCCTCATCTTCTTCTTCGCTCACCAGCTGTAAGCTCCGGCAGAAAGTCCTGGCTGTTCATCCATCTGGACTTAGGCTTTGTGCCAAGGCCTGAGTTTTGTATCTACATCCATTTTACTGGTTTATTTGTGTTCAGCTGGTTGTCTCTTGCCACTTGGGCAGATGCATTCCAACTTCGAATGGTCCCCAGTTAGTCGACTCCTACGACATGCTTGCTGGGAAGGCAGTGGATCTATTCTTGTTTCCCCCACAATGGGGCCCCGGAATCCACACAGGAAGCCTTTCCTCTAAGAGTAGAGTATCAATCAGATCCCTTGGTCACTCCCTATCTGTACCATTCTCATCAGACCGCAATGATCTGTTAATGCCTCCATACTGTTCACTTACTCCCAAATGACCTTGATTACATCAAGCTTGTCATGTAAACATTCAACACTCACTGATGGAGAAAAAGCCAGTCTGTCTGCATGTTAATTTCCTATGCCCCAGAGAAAATATCAAGAGAACGCTAAATACCGGGGACCTCTGAAGTGATGCTTGCCGCTCATTTGTTTTGTAAATTGATAAAGTGGCTATCCTCAGAATACTTACTTAGTCGCTCCTCTTCTACCTTGGGGTGTAGAGGTTTGCCAGAGAGATCGCCAGACGTCTCTATCAGCAGTTTTCTTTCTGGCTTTGTTCCATTCCAGTCCTCTGTCAGTCAGGGACTGTCGGATGTTGTCTTCCCAGCGCACCCTGGGTCGTCCCGGAGGTCTGGTTCCCTGGTTCTTAGCCTCCCATGCTTGCCATGGTGGCCGATTTTCTCCCATTCTGCACACATGTCCAAACCATCGTAACTGTGACTGATCCACTCGGGTTAGTAAGGGCTGGGTATCAAGATCTTGACGTATTGTCTGATTGCGGACTTTGTCCCTTCTTGTCACTTGGACCACCTTTCTCAGGTATCTCATTTCCGAGGCCTGCAGCTGGCTTCTGTGAGCTGTTGTCATTGCCCATGACTCACACCCATAGGTCAGGACTGGTACATAGGTAGAGCGGTAAACAGCCATTTTCGTTCTCTTGCCAATTTCTCTTTTGCTAAGAAACCCTCGGTTTATGGCCTGGAAGAGTCTCCCAGCAGCTGCTTTTCGTGTAGCCAGCTCAGTCTTAATGCCTCCATTTTGGTCTAATACAACTCCAAGGTATTTGAACTGGTTAACCTGCTCCAACGCATACTGACCCATCATGATCTGGTGTTTCTTCTCCTCTCTTGAGATCACCATGGTTTTAGTTTTGGAGACACTGATGGTCATCCCTTTCTTTTCAAGCTCTTCCTTCCAGACAAGTAAGTTGGACTGAAGGTGTGCCTCTGATTTAGCTATCAGGGCCACATCGTCTGCAAAAGCCAGCTCTGATATACAGATTGGTCTCATCTTCCAGTACCCTACAGAGTACTTCTTTGTCTTCTCCTTACAGGTCTTGATGACATCATCCATCATAAGAATGAAGAGGTAAGGTGAGAGAATATCACCTTGTCTAACACCGCTGGTGGTCTTAAATTCTTCTGACTTTTGGTCTGCTGTTCTTACATAATTTCTGCACTTTTTGTAGAAACTCTGTATTGCACTGATCAGGGGTGCTGGGATGTTTTTTCCCTGCCAAGCAGTCCCAGAGCTTGTTCCAGGGTACCTTGTCAAATGCCTTTTCCAGATCCAAAAAACATAAGTGAATCTCACTCTTATATTCCAGGGCTTTTTCACTCATCTGTCTCAGTGTGAAGATAAGGTCTTGAGTACTTCGGTTTGCTCTGAAGCCGCACTGGGCCTCGTCCAGCTGTGGCTCTACCAGACTTCTAAGTCTCTGCTCAAGAATTCTAGAGTAACTTTTACCGGGAATGCTGAGGAGGGATATGCCTCTGTGGTTTTCACATTGTCTGTTATCACCTTTTTTAAATATAGGTATAATGATGGCAATCTCCCAATCTTTTGGTATAGTTTTGCTACACCAGGCTGCCTGGAGAACCTTCAGTAGAAGGCGCTCACCTTCGACTCCCATATATTTGACCATCTCTGGTGTTATACCATCATGACCTGCTGCTTTTCCCAGCTTAATCTTCTCAATAGCTGCCTTCAATTCTTCCATCCTGATGTTATCTTCCCCATGATTGAATTCCTTCTCAGCAGTGAGGTCCATTATTTCTGGGTCATGACTTCCCTCAGCGCCGAGGAGCTCTGAGAAGTATTCTTTCCATCTGCCCATGATATCATTTGTAGAAGTAAGCAGAGCCCCTTCCTTGTCTTTTATGAATTTAAGTGGGCACTCTTTCTCCTTCCTCATGTTCTTAAGGGTCTTGTAGAACAGTTTTTGGTTTTCTCTTGCATTCTTTTCCAACTTTTCTCCAAACTCTTCCCATGATTTCTGTTTTGCTTTAAGCACAATATTTTTGGTCTCTGTTCTGAGTGCCACATATTGTTTATATTTTTCTATTTCTTCAGCTGTGTTCCTGGCTGCCAGGTATTGCTTCCATGCCCTTTTCTTTTCTCCTATTTTCAATTTGACTTCTTCTGTCCACCAAGGTGTCCTGTGTCCCCGCCTTCCACTTGGGACTTCACCACATGCTTCTACTGCAGCTGCTGTGAGGATATTCTTGAATCTGCACCAGAGAGTTTCAGTGTCCTCTGATGATTCTTCTTCAGTTCCTATTGCTTTCACTATAAGCTCCTGGTATCTAGCCTTAATATCTGGCTCTCTTAGCTTGTATGCTTTAATCCTCATCCCTTCTTGGTTGCTTGGTTTCTTGCATAGTTGTCGGTGTTGCCTTGTTGGAGCAGTTCTTTCAGTTGTTCTCTTTATTGTGACCAGATAGTGGTCACTTCCAATCTCTGGTCCTCTCATGACTCTGGCATCTCTCACAAACTTGAATGAACTTTTCCTAACTATGGCGTAGTCAATGATGGATTTTCATTCTTTGAAGGTTCACATCTTGTGTATGCATGTATACGCTTGTGGGGGAATTTTGTGTTTGTAATGACAAGGTTCTGTTCCCTGCAGAATCTGAGAAGTCGCTTGCCATTATCATTCAAAACATCTTCACCATATCTCCCGATCACTCCACCCCATCTAGAGTGATCATTTCCTACTCTGGCATTTAGATCTCCTAGGAGGATAATTTCATCGTGACAGTCATCTATGGTCTTTTGGAGCAGTTCAAAGAATTCTTCTTTAACATCTACTCGCTCATCTTCATTTGGCCCGTACACAATGACAAAATTGACAATTTTATCTTCTTCTTTCAGATCTAACACCATTATTCGCTCTGAGATGAATTTCCATCCCTTGATGTTACTAACTTGATTCCTGGCCACAATACAGCCAACACCTCCCTTGGCTCTCTCCGTCATAGGGACACCACTGTAGAGCAGCATACTTCCATCGTGATCTGTGATTCCTTGCCCCTTTTTCTTGGTTTCAGTCAGAGCCAAGACTCCTAATTTTGCTTTCCTCATCTCCCCTACTAACTCGTTTTCCTTTCCGTTAATGCCTCTTATATTCCATGTTCCATAAATCGTAGTCCGTAAGCCATGCCAGTTCGTCGCCGTTAAGATCCGTCCGGTTTTCTCTCTGTAGTTACTTGTAATCGTGGTTTAAGGCAAACAGGTGATTGGCCTGTTGTGCCTTTGCATGGTGGAGGGGCTGCCTCCTTGCGGCCTCCATGCAGGCCGTCTGGCTGATTCACGGTTACCCACTACTTCCGGAGACGCATGAAGCACTCAGGTTCAGCCAGACCCTCCTCCTTTTACAGCCGGGCTTGGGACCGGTCTTAGCGGAGTTTCCTCAGAATAACGGCCCTAAATTATCGAGGCGGAAAATATACCCTAACAGGGCCTCAGTCATGTGCCAAATGTACACTTCCGGCGTCTTAAATTGCGAGCTTCAGGCGACTTCCGCCACCGCCGAGAGTATCCCCCAGGCCCCGTGAGCGGCGTGGATTGGGGCTAAACTCGAGCAGCAGCTACCGCATCTCCTGCAGCTTACTTCATTTTATTTGTTCGTGAGACTTAGTCATCTAGTTTAGCCCCAATCCACGCCGCTCACGCGGCGTGGGGGGATACTCTCGACGGGGGCGTTATAGTCCCCAGAAGTGCGCAATTGACACGTGACTGAGGCCCTGTTAGGGTATATTTTCCGCCTAGATAATTTAGGACCATTATTCGGAGGATAGCCGATAAAGACTCTCTGGTCAAATTCAGGCAACAACGTTCAGTTGTATTTTTGCACTTCTAAACCTTTGCTTCACTGAGTCATTCTAGTCAGTTGTTTTTGTTTAGCTAATTCTTACAATGAGATTTTACTACTTCTTCAGAACTGACCTTGGCTCTCAGGCCAACCCAGCCTGAAATGGGTAGCAACTAATGTCTTGGGAAATAAACATGGCCGGTGTGATACTGACCACATCACACATCAAGTGCCAACTGGTCTATAAATAAAGGTTTAGCAGAATATACGAAAAG